TATGAGGACAAAGGCCGAAGCAGCACAGGAAGAGAGCAAAGTCAATCCATGCACATTCCCCTACCCAGGCATGGCAAATGCTTCCCCAAGTTGGGGAAGCAGGCCTTGGTCCCAAACGGAGGGCCCCTGGGTGAGGCTGGCTGGTGCTTTGGCACTGCTGCTGCTCCTTCCAGTGGGGTTAGCAGACTTGCTGGGCCACTTCTTACTTCAACCACTCAGTCACAGCCTGGGAAGACCCAAGTAGGAGAAAGGAAACCAGGACCAGGAGGGAAGTGTGAGCTGAGCCCCACAGAGCTGTGGCAGGGTGGGAAGTCAAGGTACCAATGAGCAAATTAGCCTGGTACTTCATAACAATATTCCTATAAAGGAAAAAGGAAAAAAAATTGGTTTATGAACTGCTCATGGGGAATTCTACATACAGTTCCTTGTTTACTTGGTGAAGAGCTGGTGATGGCAAGTCCTGTTCCTTGGTCCCAGTTCTCCCCAGCATCCCACCTCTGTGCTCAGTCTTCCTCTAGAGGGGCGAGGCTGGAACCGGCCTCCTGGGGGCTGGGAGGAAGCTGAGGGAAGAGTGCATTATTCCTGATCTCTGCACCCTCCCTTGCCCACTCTCCTGTTTTCTTCCTACAGGAAGGAAGTAGGAACTTGCAGAATGGAAGAGGGGCCTGGCCACTTCAGAAACCCAGCAGCAGGGCAGCAGTGGGCCCTGGGAGATTCCAAGGGCACTCTCTCCACGCCACCCACCTCCAGCCCTTCTCCTGCACTCTCATTGCATGCCGCTCCTGTGATTGCCAAAGGCTATTTTACAGAATTATTCTCCCTGAAGATAAAAATAATCTCCCCCCACCATCCCTGAGGCTGGCCCCCATTCTATTAAACCCAGGTCCTGCAGGAACTAGGCAGTGGGCACTGACGCGTGATCCCTGGGCTGTTTCGTGGAGTGCTTCATGTTTCCTGCACCACCTTCCAACAACTTCCTCACTCCCCATTCAGTTCAGAGGCCCAGGTCAGGCTCAGGGCCCTTCCTGACACATTGCCAGGCGGTCTTGTCTTCACAGGTCTAAGTCACCTTTGCATTCAGTGAGTTGCTTGACCTACAGCCAATCCAGCGCATCAATCAGTCCTCCCCTGGTCCTTACCCTCTGCCTCATCACCCAGGACAGGCTATCTCATGGGTCCTGGGAGTTGCCATGCCGGCTCTGTTTACCAGGACATCTACCCTGTCCACTCCACTGCCTCTTTCCTATTGGCCATCTAACACAGCCACTCTGCTGCCTCTTTCCTATTGGCCAACTAGCAACAGCCACTCTGCTGCCTCTTTCCTATTGGCCACCTAACACGGCCACTCTGCTGCCTCTTTCCTATTGGCCAACTAGCACAGACACTCCGCTACCTCTTTCCTATTGGCCAACTAGCACTGCCACTCCGCTGCCTCTTTCCTATTGGCCAAATAGCAACAGTCACTCTGCTGCCTCCCAAACCTCTTCCATGAAGGAGGAGAGAGAGGAAGAAAGAGAAACAGTTACAATAAAAGTTCAAGCTTTCCTCCTCTCCACCCCTCCTTGATCTGCTATCTCTTTCCATTCCTTGGGAAATAATGTCTTTCATACGCTCCAAGGTATGCATTTTTTTTTCCAACTTGTTAACTACTAAAATTGGAGCTTGCCTGTTGGAGACTGAAAAGCACCATGTCATAGTTAATGAGCAGTGCTTGTTCTTTCTTAGTGGGAACATGAAGTACGTTGTGTCTTACTGTGGAAGGTGACTTGGAGGGGGTGAAATGCGGTATGGTGCTTGAAAGGGGCCACTGCATTCCCCATTTTTTTTCATGTGTCACTTAATTCTCTTCTATTGTATTCTGGTTTCTCTTCCCAACCATGCTACTGAAAAAATGCTTGCCTGTGGTTGTCCAGGGTCTCCTAATTCTTAAATCTTGTCTTTTCCTGTCCATGTTTTACTTACCTGGATGTTGTTTTTGACAGAGGCCTTCTAGAATCGGTCTCCCTGTTCCCAGAGCACACCCTCTCTGCTGCCTCTCTCATCTCCCTCTCCTCTCCTCTCCAGCCTTTCTGATGCAGGCCTTAGTGTCTATTGGTCCCTGGGGCCAGTGATCCTGGGGATTTCTTCCCCAGTCCTCTATTCCTGCTACCCCATGCCTGGCAATGATGCTGTTACCCTTTCTTCATCTGTCACCTGCAGACCAAAGGCTGCCGAGTCTGGGCCTGTACTGGGATCTCTTTCTGGGCCCCTGCCTGCAGAATGTCTCTCCTTGCATTTTCATTCCATAAACCAGGGTTCTCAGTCTGCAGTGATGTCTCCCCCCTACCCTACCCTGCCACAGGACATGTGACAATGTTTGGAGATGTTTTTAGCTGTCGCAACTTGGCGGGATGCTACTGGTATCTAGTGGGTACCGGTCAGGGACACTACTAAACATTCTATAGTATTTAACACAGTCCCCTACAACAAAGAATGATCCAGCCCCGAATGCCAATAGTAGCATGTCTAAGAAGCTCTGCCATAGGCACGTCAGATGGACAATGCCCCGAGCCGAACTTCCCCTTGAACATCTTCCATTATGAGTTGCCATTGCACCCTGTTTCCGTGTCTGTCCCTCCCATTGGGCTGGGAGCTCATGGATATGAACTGTTTTATTCATCTCCTCATCTCCAGTCCCTATAAGAGAATAAGAATGGAATACTAGATACTCGGGCAGCATGGCTGAATTAATGAAACACAGTGCAAGGTCTTTGAAGGCAGGGGTCATGATAACCTACCACTGGGTGCTGAGGAAAGGTGGGAGCAGTGTGTGAAGTTCAAGATTTGGGGACAGGTGAGAAAAGTTATAGAATGGAATTTCCATACCTCTGTTGGGTGAGTGTGGGCCAGTCTGTGGCCACAAAATGTATACAAAGAAAAAAGCCTATATCCAAAGGATTATAAATCATTCTATTATAAGGACACATGCACACAAATGTTCATTGCAGCACTGTTTACAATAGCAAAGACTCGGAACCAACCCAAATGCCCATTGATGATAGACTGGACAGGGAAAATGTGGCACATATACACCATGGAATACTATGCAGCCATAAAAAACGATGAGTTCATGTCCTTTGTAGGGACATGGACGAACCTGGAAACCATCATTCTCAGCAAAGTGACACAAGAACAGAAAATCAAACACCGCATGTTCTCACTCATAGGCAGGTGTTGAATAATGAGAACACATGGGCACAGGGAGGGGAGCATAACACACTGGGGTCTGTGGGAAGGAACTAGGGGAGGGACAGTGTAGGATGGGGAGCTGGGGAGAGATAACATGGGGAGAAATGTCAGATATAAGTGATGAGGAGGAAGGCAGCAAACCACACTGCCATGTATGTACATATGCAACAATCTTGCATATTCTTCACATGTACCCCCAAACCTAAAATGCAATAAAATATACATATAAAGAAAAAGAAATAAAAGAAAAAAGCTTAAAAGCAATTTAGAGTCTATTACTGTTTTGAAAAATTGTCAAGAGGTTGAATAGGTAGAAAAGGCATATGTTAGTAAAATGAGGTCTATGTTAGTAAAATGAGATTTTAGAAAGTAAAGGCTAATATGAAAGGAAAGACGTGCTCAGACTGTGTTTGGAATAGTAAATATACTCTAAAGTCAAACCAAAAGGGAAGACTGCCAAGAAAATAAGTAGAAAACCCGGGAGGAGAAAAAAAGGACAAATAAGACATTTTGGCAGTAGGTAAATTTTCCCATCTCATTTTAGCATTCTATTATATTCTTGTTTGCGTAAGATATAAAGTCTTTACATTCCCAAAATTACTTAAAGGAGATCTTTATAAAACAACAGATTGTAACGCCACTCATTTTATCTCAAACTCTGCTTCCTTTGTATTTCCTCTGCAAAAGGCATTTTTACAAAGCTGGGAGCCCCATCCACCCCCACTCATGTGGATTGAAGGAGCCCACGTCATCCACCTCATTCCTGGGGGCATCCCTTCCCTATGTTTCCTCTCTCTTAGCCTAATTTCTCTCATTTCTTTTATTTTGATTTGCTATACGGCATGTCTCTTTTTGAGCCGACAATTTATACCTGAATATGAATTTATAAATTTATTTTTTTTCTCATTTTTTTTCTGGATTCATTTGGATACCTTATATAAGGGATCTAGTTATAAAAGCAAAGCCTCTTGGATTGGATGGGAGGAAATTCTCCCCGGAGAATCAGGAAAGCATGAAGCATTCCTATGGCTGAAGAAACCCTGCTTGAGGGCAGGGAACGGTACATCCCCCGCAGGACATAAGGCCTGGGGAAAATGTGTGTATACCCGCACGTGTGCATGTGTGTGCCCGCGTATACATGTATGCGTCCATCCTTGTAGTCTTGAGATACCCAGAGCCAGGACTCCTGTTCTTCCCAGAAACACCACCCTCAGCTGATGGCTCAAAAGACATGTGCTACTACTTAGAAAGAAGAAGGGAAGGCTTTTGGAGCGGTTTACAGTGATCTGGAGAACAATATTGCATACCGACAGGAAAAGCACAGGGGAGAACTTATTCTGACCGACGTCAATTATTAAAAGCCACATAAAGTAGGCTTTTATAATGTCAGAGTTTTCTGTTGACCTGTGTTAGGGCATTTCTGAAATGAGAGGATAACATAAAAAAGAGGGACAAATTAAGTTGTTAGACATCAAACCCCATCACCGTCCTTCCTCATTGAATGTGGCGAAGCAATACAAGTAAGAAACACAATAATGGTTCCAACTAGTATCCTCCCCGCCCCCCCACCCCCGGTGAACAACCGCACAACACCATGAGCATGTATGTACCTGCACCTTATTGTCCAGTTTAGGGCTAAAGAATCTGGATCTCACAGCAAAAGTCCATTCAGCTTGTACGTGGGGGGTCAGGATCCAACTACAGGCCTGGATGTTTGCAAAGAAAGCACTCTTTCCATTCAACTATGCATTTAATAAACAACCCAGTAAGAATTTCCGTACAAAGAATTTTTTATTGACATTGTAAGAAACATTTTTTTTTCTTTGTTACAAAAGGACTAAGTGGTTCTGAAAGCAAAGGTAGAGTTCATCTGTGGCTGGGCTGCAGCCCCGGGCTTGAGGTGGGCAAGATCACTGGGACTGCAGGCTTTTCCGGGGAACACCTGGGCCAGTCACATCAGAACACTATGCCTACAATACTTAAATGTATTTACATGTGTTTCTTTTAAAAAAGGATTACACATTTTATTTTTTAAAAATCTAAAAAAGGTGAAAAAAATGAACTTGTATTTTATTTTACACATCTGCAGGATACACAAGGGTAACTTGTCAGAAGAGAACATCCTCCTATCAGTTCAAAACAACACAGGAAACCAGGATACAAGACAGCCCCGACTCTGCTACCATCGCGCACTCTCCGGCCAGTGCATGCACAGCCTTGGAGTGCTGACTGGGCAACACCAACTGGTCCCTCTCATTGACAAGATTAACATAAAATAAGGCACATACATCGCAAGAATCAAAACTTTGTGGCTCAAGAGGAAGAGCCAATGTGTGAGGAGTTGGGAGGGGTTAACTTTTTCAGAAAAATAAAACAAAAATGGTTAGAAAAATAAAAGGTTTGACACAGACATTAAGTAGGAGTACCAGGTGTGAGCCTGCGTTTTTTATAAAAGGCAGGATGGTGACACTAGTGAGGCGGTCCTCTCGCTCTAAATACATAGGTTAGAGAAATGGAGAGAGGCTTGGAGGCTGGAGATGGGTCTCAAGATATGAGATGCCTAGCCTACAGAGATCCCCAAAGGTGCCCAAAAGGATGCTTCTAAGTGACCTCAAAAGACCTTCCTTCCACTGAACTGCCACGACAGATCATTTAAATTCTGGAAGAGTATACTTTCTTCTTCCCTCCCTCTTCTCCTCCATCCTGAAATTTCCATATTGAGAGAAGCCAACCATTGAGGTGAAACTTGCATCTCCTGCAAATCTAAAAGCAATAGCAAGGGAAGCAAATATGAAAAAAAAATGGGGCAAACCCAGAAAATGACCTGAAACCATAGGAAGGAGCAGAAGCACAAGGCAACAGTGGTGGGTCTGATCACATTCATCCCTCCACAAAGGACGAAGCTGATGCAGGAAACGATGGTAACTGAGAAATGCAGTTGCATCTGAGAATATTACTGGAAGAGCCCATTGATGGAGGAGGTCAGCATAGTGCCTTCCATCCAAGATCCTTGCTCAGGAGGAGTGGAGAACACTCAGGCCCGATGCTTTGAAAACAAGGGTTGGAAAGGGATAGAGCCAAACCATCATGAGCACACAAGATAAGACCAGGACCTGGAGATATGGAGATTCATGGACAAGTGAGACTGGATCTCTGATATTGTGATAACATCATGTCCTGTTTCAGAAACAGAGAAAGCCTTGCTTTTTCAGCTGAAAAGTGGTAGAGCCTCTACTCTCCTAAGCTCAGATCACTCATTTCTTTTGTTCTGGGGCTGTTCCAAAGGAGACACATCCTTTAATTTCAAAGACGACTTACATGGGGGAAGACAAGCAGGCATGGAGGGGGAATTGCAGCATCCCTCTGCTCATCTCAGGAACATCTAGTTGAAAGCAAACCCAACAGTCTTAGCCAAAGTCCCCAACGGCAAATCAACCTCCATGCAGAGATTCTTGGTCCAAATGAAAGCAACATAAACATGAGAAAAGTGGGCTGGTCCTAACGCTCTATTATCTAATATTTTATTTTACTTGATTTTTGTCTTTCTACTGTAATTGAAATGGCAGGAATAAAGGGGAAAAGCCACATAATTGAATTATCAATCACTTGCAATAAATCCAATTCCGGGGGTCAATGGGACAGAATATAGCAGGTAGCCCCAGGTGTTCATATTTTAATAGTTTATATATTTTTAAAGCAATATGCTGGAAAATCCATGTACTCTTTGTGCACACATAGTATGACTTTTATGTGTATCAACTGCACATGGGGCATAGCTGCACTTCAAAAATCTTTAAATGTTTTAATCCAAAACAGAAGTACAGATCTAGTCCACATTATGGACTAACCACATGTAACATTTAACTTGGTCAATGGATGCAGCATTCAATAGACAGGGTGTGAAAAAAGGCATCCACACAGCTACTAAACACCTTCCCTAGGGCTCTCAAACACTAAAAATGGCTGAAGCAATTTATTCCCATTGTGTGGGCTTTCTCTTTTACAACTAAATTTTATAAATCCTTCAAAATAAGGTATTCGGAATAGAATTTCTTCTTCACTGTAGCGGAATTAATAAATGTTACTGATACAGCTGCTTGTGGGGTTGTTTAAATACCTATATACTTAGAGCTATATATAATCCATTCTCAGTTATAATGGAAAGAGATGGAACTAATCAACAAATACAACAAACCCACAAATATTCCCCCAACTAATTCTATCCAGTTGCTTCAATCTACAAGCTCTCTAATTTCTTACCAGAACAGACAGAAGTAGCAACGTGGCTGAATGTCACCACCTGCCTGTCCCTTCTCTCTGGCTGCAGTGTTAAACAGCAATGAATGTTCATGGAAGTAGTGGGAGGAGAGGCAAATGTGGTAACTGAGAACCAGCCATACAGACACAGCCTCCCCCAAAGCACACTTTCGAACACAAAGAGCTGAAAACCGAAACTGTGAGCGCCTATTTCATTTGCAAGAGCCCCACGTTCCCACTTCTGTGTAACTGTGGAAAGTGTGTCCTGAACTGAATTGGGGATGGGGAGAACATCAGTATTCTGCCATCTATGCTACAATGCACCACAAAAGATTCTTAAACTCGCTATCCATATTCTGATTCTTGTGCCCAATGTGGGAATTAAAATAAAAAACAGAAACCAAAACACAAAACACTGAGCACGTGTAAAGGAGAATCTTAAAAGCTGGAAGTGTAACCCCGTGGTCACAAGCACACCAACTCCTATTTCCTTTGAGCAACAGCAAAACATGTCAAATCCTTTAATTCGACTGCTCTTCTAAAAGAAAGAATATGCACATCACACATTTACATCGGTTTACTAAAAAAGGGGGCGGGCTTACAGTTTGTTTGTTTGTTTTTTTAAAAAGAGTGTGGTTTGAGTGTAACAATACTGATTCAAAACTGAAATGGAAGACAGTTTCTCCCTAGAATACTTTAGGGTTTTTCAGAGTCCTTTTCCATAAAAGGAATATATTTGAAACACATCCCAGGTAGGTGAGATGAGATGCTAAAATACATACAGAACTAAAAAAAACAGCCAAAACAAAGTCAGTTTAATCTTTTCGGCTCCTATAGATTTACGTTTGTTGCAGTCCTTTTCTTTCCTAAAGCCTATTGCATAACTGCAAGGAATTTGCTTTCTTCCGCTAGGGAGGTCAGCAAAGAACTCATGTCCCCGATAGCCATGTTGGTGGTGCTCATGGACAGCGCTGGGAACGGGAGGGATGCCCGAGGCGTGGTGAGACGGGAGGAGCTATGGGAAAGGTTCTGAATGATACTTGGGCTCAGGGTCCCAGACATCAGGCTGGAGTGGTCCCCATCATCTATGATGGCATCAAAATCAATCTGTACCCCTTCCAGGTCATGGCTGTCGAGGCTGTCCACTGTGCTTGTCACCTGATTAGCACCTGGGGAAAGTAACTCAGAGTTTTTGGCACTGGTCCCCTGTAGCAGGCAGCTGGCGTCTGAAATGGAGAATGAACCAGCTTTTGTGTCTTGCTGACTGAAGCCCACGGTTTGGTCATAGAACTGACCAGAGTAATTCTGCAGATTAGAGCACAGCGGATGGGGCTGCCCTTTCATCTCCATCTTGATGCCATTCACCCTGCAGGTCTGACTTGTGTCACTGAGCTGTCCTGACTGCAGACCAAAGCTGCCCCTCGGCACAGCCTGGCGCCTGCTGCCCCCAAAGCTGGCACACGGCTGGTAGCCCCTGACGACTGCCAAACTTGACGGCTGGCTGCCCATGCCATGAGCCCCTGGCAGGCAGCTCTCTGGCCCTTGATAGATGTTGATATGTGAGGTAGCACTAACCTGCCCAAGCATCTGCTGACCGGGACGACCTGCCCCCTGGTGCTGCATGCTGTCGCCAAGGAGCTGGTGAGCCAGGTACCCCTGTCCCACTGGGTCCTGGGTCTGCATGCCATTTACCGTGCTGCCAGCTGACTCATTTGGCGCTACCGGCAGGATGAAATTCAGCTGGCCCCCGTTCCCTTGGATGGGAGTGCTTTTCAGCTTTGGGGCTTGAATCCCTGCCCCACAGGCAGTGTCTAGCACACCAGGGGCCACTGGCTGCCTGTTGAGACAGTTTCCATACTGCGGGGCCTTGCAGGGCTGTTCATGGAAGGCATTTCCACTGGTGCCACTTCCGGGGCTGCTGTGCAGCACCAAGTGCTCTGGGCCGCCATAGGGGCTGCTGTTCTCCCCGAGATAGCCACCAGCGGGCCCGCTCCTCAAGGGGTTCTGCGGGTGGACCACCATGCCGTTGCAGAACCCAAAGGCGCGAGTCTGTGGCACGGCGGGCCGCGGGCCACACTTGAGCTTGGAGGAGGACAGGTCGGCGCTTCCGGAGCTGACTTCGTTCCACTGGATGGGCAGGTCCGTTTTGCTGCCCTCGGGGCAGGGCTGCTCCAGGGCATGGAACTGCTGGCCAGCATGGCTGTCTGGTAGCCCGGGCGCGTCAAAGTCACCGGGCCCGTGGGGCACTTTGCTCTCATCCGGGAGAGCGCTCGGGAAGTGCTGCTCGTACCCTGCTTGGTTCTGGGAATTTAAATACTGCACCACGTCGTCCGGCAGGAAATCCTCATCGTTCAAGTTGGCATCAGCGTCCATGCTCAGGGACTCCAGGGTGACGTTCTCGGTGATGCTAGGAGGACACGGGGACGAGTGGAAGTTTCGGGGCTGGCCGCCCTCGGGCCGCGTGTAATTCTGAAGCACGAGGCTGCGCTTCTCCGCCGTGGGGGCCATTGCCTGGGGGTTGCAGCTGCTGAGGCTGCCAAAGCGCGGCACGCGGGGCAGGGCCAGGCCCTCGGAGCCCGTGCGCACGGGGTCGCTGGCCCTCCTCACCCCGTGGCCCGGCGCGTCGTGCGGCTGCAGATGGCGCCGCCCGTAGCCGTGGGCTCCCCCGTCGCTGCACCTCCTCGGGACGTGGACTGGAGGCAGGGCCCCGCCGGGCTCGACGGGGTCCCCAAGCAGCGCCAGGCGCGTCTTCAGGCTCATCCTCTCCATGTTGGGCAGGGGCGTGGGCGGCGGTCCGCCCGTGGCGGCCGCGTACTTCGCCTTGAGGCGGTACTGCTGGGCGGGCGTGAGGCTGAGCAGGCTGGGCAGGCCGTCGCACTGGCTGGCCTCGCTGGAGCGGCGCGAGGCGTCGGTGGAGATGGGGTCGTAGGAGTCGGCCACACTCACGTTCTGCGGCCGGCCCTCGGCCTGCGACGCCTCGCTGGAGCGGCGGCTGGAGAAGCAGGGCGAGATCCCCGAGGAGCGCCGGCTGCTCAGGTAGGCCGAGCTGATGGTGCTGGTGCTGCTGTCCCTCCTGTTGAGCATGTTCAGCATGGTGACGTCCACCCCAGAGAGGTCGCTTCTGCCCGGGAGAAGGGTCATGGGCCCACCCAAGCAGGTATTGTTGGACTGTGTGCCTGGAGACAGAGAAAGAGAGAGAGCGTGCAGAGATGAATTCCCTTCGAGGATGACTTACATCAGGCATGCGCAACCCTTTTATGTAAAGGGCCAGCTAGAAACTAGTTTTGGTGTTCCAGGCCACACTGTGGGCCTCAAAACTACTCAGCTCTGCAGTGTAGCCACAACGCGGCCACAGAGCAGGCATGGCTGGATGCCCATGAAGCTTCCTTTACAAAAACGGGGGGTGGCTGGCGATGAACTCCCTCAAGTCAGTGAAGTCCCTCCCCAAGCACAGCGCAAGGACAAAAAGAATCTTGGGATGTGTACACAACGCCTGAGCTCCAGCCAAGTCCCCAGTCAAAGGTATTCCATGAGTTTCATATTCATGCTCAGGGCGTCCTGTTCATTCCACATCTTATTAACAGGGAACACCTGGGTTGGTGCAGGGGCACGCTTCACCCTCAGGTGCTTTCAGAAGTATAATTGCAGAAGCACAAACTGACCTGGGGACTGACAAGAGGGAGGGATTTTTGCCTTTCCTTGAACTGGGCAAATATAAATAAAAGTGGCTGCTAACCTCCTGTTTTTAAATTTTGGAAACTAGAGACAGAGTTGCAACCACAGATGCCTCTATTGCTGGCATTCTTTTACCCTAGTCTAACAGTTACGATTTCACCATCAGAATATGAGTCATGCACAATCACATTTTTTTCTCAATAATATCCACTTCCTAGCTGTTTTTAAAATATGGACCAACCAAAAAGGCAACTTCAGTGGGCTGAGCATTAACGGACAGTTGCAGCATCATTTTAGGACTGGTGGAGAAACTGTCAAACATAAAACGGAGAGCCTGCATTTAAAAGAACAGAAAAAAGAACCCTGAGCAGATGCATGGTCTGATGTGGAACTTACCATTTCCTATGAGAGGAGAGACTGCAGGGGCTTTAGGGGGTAGAATGGGGTTCAGTCGTGGAAACATTCCATTCACTTGTTTTAGCCTTTCTAGTTTTACATGCTCCATCCATTTGGTCCCTGCCGGGTTTCTCCTGGCTTGCAAAGCAAGGGCTGTGGTTGCAGTGGAAATGGTCGAGTCCATGATTGGGGTTTCATCAATGGCACTGAGGTCTCCTATACTACCTCCATCGGTCAGAGGAAGCTCGAGCCCACTGTTGGAATAGTTGCTGATGGGGGACTGTTGGCTGCTGCATGAAGACTGACCACCAGGGCTTGGCTGAGATGTCTGTTGGGGTCAAGCGGAAAGGAAAGAAATGTCACCAGGGAGGGTCAAGCAAAGGGAGTCAATAACGAGAGCTCATGCATGTCAAGATCTTCAAGATCATCCGTTGGTTGAATGAGAAGAAAAACTATGTTCTGGTGAATGGAGCTGGCCTCTTTTGGCCAAAATGACTGATGGACCACCAGGCTGATGGGCACTGGGAGGCAATGGACAGCAGAGTATGCTAGCTGCAGTGTAACTGGCATGGTATCAGCCATGGAATCCTGCCCTCATCGCCAACTCTGCAAACACACTTCCTTGGTTCCAGCCCCACCTCCACCACTTTATTCTTTGGGCACATTACTTAGCCACTCTAAACCTCAGTTTCCTTATCTATACAATGGAGACCATTTATTTCAGGGATTGTTGTCAGGAATTAAGCATGAAACCCAGAGAGCTCCCAAATATAAAAAGACCTGGATAATAGAAATTGGCTCACAGGGTGTTAGCAATTATTATGATCCCAGGTGGTTTTAGTCTTTAGGCTCATTTTGCTCAGCTGAAACATAAATATAAGACACGCATCATCAGCACATATTGCCTCCTCCAACAGCAGCCCCTATAGGCTGTTCAAAGCTGGTTAGCCAAGCTCTTTGTAGCCTCTCCTCCCTCCCCTCCCAGTTTCCTGCTTTTGTAGAACCTCAACCAAGGTGTCAGCAAAAGCAGCTGAGAGAGGTAAAACTTCAGTCACTTAGCCTGTGCTACACCCAGAAATAAAGAAAGGCTGCAGATCACAGCCGTCATGAGTCTATAGAATGATTTCACCATTCCTCTTAGTGTACTCCCTAACAGTTCACTAGGAGGATTTAGGAAATGATTCCCTAACCCCAGCCAAGTAGACTCTGTAAGACAACGCTGCAAACAATGGAATGTTAACGTAGTCCACCGGGTCCTCAATCAGGGAAAGTACTGCCTCCTCTCATTCCCAGGGCTTCTGGGAATTCAGGGTGGAAAGTCTGGGGATTACTATATAAAATGGCCTACACTGCACAGGACAGTCACACAACACAAATGTTCTATCTGAAGTTTCAGCGGTGTCCTGGTTGATTAAGTCAAATCCTTTTTGTACAGATAAGCAAAGTGATGTTCAGAGAAGTTCAGTGACTGCCCAAAGTCACAAAGTAAATGGTGCAACTAGCCTGGACTCCTGGGCCAGCTACTTCCATGCGTCTGCAAGCACCTTCACCAGTGTTACTATAAATACTGACAGCAGCTAGAAGGGAGAGTGCTGTAGGGACAGATAACTACGCTCAGTTACAGAGTACTGTAGTATCAGGTGGAATGCACAGTGCCACCAGGAAGGGCTCTTCGCAGTAGAACCCGTTCGCTTCTTCTGCTATCACAGTACATACACCCAAGCAAATGAACACTTTCTAAGTGAGTGCTGCATGGTACATTAACTTTGTCCTGGGCAACCAAGCAGAGCAAAATAAGATACACAAATTTGATCATGAGTATATGAACCCTGCTTAATTTTGGGGCTCAGAAGAGTGCTGGATTGCCAGACCACCTGCTCCTTCCCGAGGTACTTGTCGTTTCCAGAGCTTTGGATGTCTCTTACTCCTGGACTGTCAGAGTGTGTGGACATAAATCTGTGCATTTGTGCAAACACACAGGCAGATATGCTTCCATAGAGCAGATAAGAAGGCACAAATGCACTCGCAATTAGGAAATTGCTTCAATGAGCTTCCACACTTAAATAGAGGTTACACTGCTAACAACAAATGAAGCCAGATCTTCCTCAAAGAAGGTGGTGCACGTCTGGATGAATTTGCACTAGTCAGTACAATAATGAGTCTTTCAGAACATCTGCTTGGTAGGCCCCAGTGTGATTTGTAATGGAAACCTAGACAGAACAATGAATTTCACCAACTAACTCCACATTTTTTCACATGCTGAATGTTCAAAACACATTGCTTCTATATTCGAAACATATCTGAGTAATGTTCACTACCAAAGATATCACAAAACCACAAAAACTAAAGAAAAATTAACACAAAAAAGTAAATGTTAAAAAAGGAAAACAAAATGAAAAGGACAGAGAAGCCAAAATTCCCTCACCTTATTACCCACTGTCCTTAGGAAGTGAGAACAAGACATTTAGGAGCATTAGACAGAAGAGATGTTGCATTAATAAGAAAAAAGAAGAAAGAATTTAATTTATAGCATGATGATCAAATCAAAGACATGTTTTTAAAGAAAACTAGAAATGTCAATTTCATGTTTATTAGTAAATGTCTATGAAGATACCTACTTTTATAAATGTGCATGAGCATATACACATGTAACATCTGCTGCGGAAGTGTAATAATATGACATCACTGAGCCTCGGCTTCCTCAAAATATGGGTCTGGTCTGGCTCTCTATGGTTCCTTTTATATGGTTCTAGATTGGTGCGAAAGTAATTGCTGGTCTTGTCATTACTTTTAATGGCAAAAACCACAATTACTTTTGCACCAACCTAATATGATTGAATTACTTTATAAAATACTTCACACGTTGGGGCATCTCAATGTTGCTGGGCCAAATTTGCATAAATTTTTATTTCTACCAATTTTCTTTTTTAAACAATGGGTGTTTGAAGAGAAAATGACAATTTTCTTGAGCTAGGAATGTACACTAAAAGTAGAAGAGATTCTGGTTCTTAGAATGTCCCAACAACACAAATCATCGGTTTTTCATGATATAATCTCAGAGACTTCAAATTAACTTTCCTTGTTTTGTTAAACACTTGAGCGTAAACTGTTGAATGTTCTGTACAATTATTATACAGGTAGGCTTTATTTTAACGGTAGACATGTGCTCCCCTCCAAAAAAAGTATATAAAACACAGTTTATGAACTGATTGAAATATAGTGATCAATCATAATACATGTATAAACATTTTATTAAGATACTTTTTTAAAACAAAGTACAGCTACCCACTGAGTAATAATGAAAAATCTGGATAGCCTATTTGGGTTATTTTTGGCTAGACTTAATGTCACTCTCTAAGACTCTTAAGAGGTCAAAGATAAACTCAGTAAGTCATTAAAATATAGCCTCTCACCCTTCCAATGGTGACACTGTACACTATTTCCCACCCACACATACTGCGATACAGCAACATTGCTCATGAATGCATAGGCTGCCCATCCAATTGATAGGCTGCTCTAATTTTAAGCAAATGCTTGCTTTAAGTGTAATTCTGTCTGCATTTCCGTGCATCTGGGAATCTGAGCATGAAACTTCTCTCTGGTACACTTAGGTCAGAGAGTGACAGCCCAGAACCCAATATATCTGCACAATTAAATCCATTCTCTGCATGCAAATGGGCCAAATCTCCTCTACTATCTACTCTTTTTATTTTTCTTGTTGTCTTTGAAATTTTAACGTGTTTTACAAAATCACATTCACGAAGCAAAGTCACCTACTGAGGTTTGAAAGAAGCTGAAAGAATAGCAGAACCCACATGTCCTTAGTCACCAAACAGAAAGATGTTTGCCTACGGAATCTTTCTGATCCCTCCCCTGTGCTCTGCCTTGCTGGTTCAGGTCCAACTGGAGAAGTGATCTCCAGTTTACCCAATCTCTAGACTGGTACTGCAGTGGTTTCCTCAAAAAACAAACAAAAAAACTCACCCCTGCTGTGTTGATCCCTTCCCACCCCGTGCTCCTCCCCCTCCTCCACCTCCTTAGCTCTTCCCTCTGGAGCACTGAACTCCCAACCCATGGCCTCCTCTGCCCCGACTGACTGGCAGTTCACCCTCTCCTGAATCCTCTTTACACGCACTTGTGTGTAAGCCCCCATCACACTGCATGGTATTTGTTTTTCAGTCTGTCTATCCCATTGGACTGTAAAAGGTTGTGGTTTATTCACGTTGGGTCACCAGAGCAAAGAAGAAAGAGAGCATGTTTACAAGAAGACTCAGTGAATGATTTTTGACATTACAGACACGCTGGAGAGACAGACAGTCGTGTCTTTCTTCCTTCCATGGCACAGTGGTAGGGGTCTGAGAGGGATTTTAAAAATCAGTTAGGCAACCTGGAAACTCTTTTTCTGAGCTGATCAACTTCAAGTAAGCAATCCAGGTTACTGCCCTCATGACCTCCTCAGGTGAGAGACAGCCCGACACAGTGAGGACTGGGGAAGTCCTGCCCTCTATGCACCCTATCTGGCTCTTTTAAATGACCCTGGGCCTGCTGTGAAGTCAGAAGGCGAGTGAATGACATACCATGGGCTTCTCCGCCTTGACGGTTTTCACTTGGAGGCATTCTTCCCGCTTTGAGGTAGTGTTGCTGAGGTCCTGCTGCTCACCGAGGGCTCCCTGAGTCGGCCGGCCAGGCGACCTGGACTGTGAATGGCTGCTGGAATCTCTCGGGGGTGGGGGCCGAGGATGGATGTCCCCTCGCTGCTTCTTGGTGACATGAGCCTCTGGGCCGTGCACTGTCTTCACGTGTTTCCGGAGGGAGCTTGGGTCTGTGTAACGCTTAGTGCAGCCCGGGATTTTGCACACATATGGTTTCTGCCAAATGCCACAAGAATGAGGTAAGAGATTGTTATGAAAGTGATTACGCCCCAGCCCGAAAGTCCTTTATGGTTGCTCATTACACTTTTAATCCTTTCAAAACACTTTCACAAGGCTTTGAGGTGTTCAGACACCTCTAGGAACTAATGGTTTAATAAGGCCATTAGAACACAATTCCCTGTCCATAGAATCTAGCTTTAATAGGTGATAGCTTGAGAGAGAGAGAGGCTTAGGGAGAACTGAGAATGTGTAAATTGCCTTGATGTTCTCGGAAGCATTTATACTGTGAGTGCGAAGTGTCACGGTGCCATCAGAGGCACTTGATAGATATTTGATGATGATGATGCCAATGAAGGTGGCTTAGAAGATACCCGTCATCTAATCAGAAGACTGTACACCTTTCAGAAGAGGTTGTGTGACAAAATTTCTCATGGATGTCCTGGTTTTGAGACAGAATATCACTCTGATCCTTTTGAAAATGTGCTATTTATGCACAGGCATCATTTTAAAATTGCCTATGGCCTCTCCCATGTTAGATTACACTAAAATGTGCCCCTTCTTTGGGTAGCATTACAAGTGTGGGAATATTCAGGGCTCAAAATAGCCAGAACCTTTCTGATCTTCGAAGTTGGAAGGCCCTATTATAGACTGTCCATGAACCCTCATCCCAAACTTCAGAGGGCTGACAGATGTTTTGGGGACCAGGATTTCTGGTCTGTGTTCTTCTCTTGAGCTTTATAACTAAGGCCTATAAATTATTTTGTGCTAATCTTATTTTCTGCGTGGGTCAGTGATGAAGCCTGAGGATACAGTCATAAAGAATTATGTGAATGCTTATATAAGTGAAATACTTTCTCAAATCACAGAACTGCTGGCCCTTGCTCATGACCAACATCACACTCGTGAGTTTGTTCACTTGGCTTAAAATATATGCAAGGATACTTTCACGAATATATATTTATATCTACGTACAGCAGAGGATGAGTTTTTACGTAAGCAATCATCATGAAAAGCAGGATTAATATAATGTACTTATTATATTTAAAATGATGCTGTGTCTTGTAGAATGTATGTCTAAAAGATGCTTTTTCACTAAAAGCCTAAGAACACACTGAGTGCTACCTAAAATGCTGAAATGTCCTAATGCAGTGAAGCAAAGATCCTGAAAATTATCCTGAGAGGTTTCACCTCCAAACTTGAGATTCCTCTGGGTAGAATTGATTCCCATTAACTACGAATTACATCTATTCAGGAGCTTGTGTGATTTGCAGTATATATAGATATCTATATATAAAATGAGATGAGCACATCAAATTCTATGCATTAGGGACAGAAGAATGGCTTTGACAATTAGTGCCATTACCTTACAGTGTTCTGACCCAGGCCCTCTGCTTGCTCACAGCATTGCTGTGACAGGTTGCTCCATCAGCAGGCAGACTGGGATATATGGGGCAGAACTGTGGAGACCAGGAGAGAGGGAGCACAAAGCCTGCATGTTTGAAGAGCCACTCTTCCTATAAATATATGCATGTACATTATAGGTGAGCCTAGAACCAAGGACGCAGCCATTGTGTAATGAGTATACAAATGTGTCAGCTCCTGCACTTCCAGAAACAATAGCCTATAGAAGTGCACCTGTGCCCACACGTCCTTGTGTGTGAACAGACACATTATCTACCCACAAAAATTCACAGGAGTACAGGTTCAGGAAATGTATACCTCCCAACAACACAACATAAACAAAGTATATTAACCCTTCACATAGCTTTTGCCCACAAATTTTGTTGTGATCAGTGACTGAAATATAATTAGGGGCTAAGAAAAATGTTCTCAGATTTACTGAGGTACAAGATTCTGTAAGCACAAAGTTGTATATGAGAAGATTTATTCATAAGAATACAAAATCTGGTAGGAAAAATAAGAAGATGCAATGATCTATAATATAAAATGTGGATACTATGTAAGCGTATAGGCAGAGGAGGATCGTTTTTTCAGCTGAGATTATAATGGGAAGCATCAGTGATTAAGATTCTATATCTGGGCTTAATGCCCAGCTCACATGGTTATTGGTAAGCGTTAAATTAGATCATATACATGAAGTGCTTACCAGGATGCATGGAATGTCGTAAGCACTCAATATACAGAGCTTTTATTAGGAGTCATTTTACTTGGGATGCCAAAAAGAAGTGTGCTCAGCAAACATCCAGTGGCAGAGACACTTCATGCACCTAAGCATGACAGTCCACAGCAGCGGCTTCTGGAAGGTTTCATGCATGGTCATGACAGTGAGAGCTCAGGACTGGAGGGATGAGCTTGGGTCCTGTAGGAACAGGCACTTACACAGGCTTAGGGAGTCTAAAGTTTCCCTACAGGAAAGAGGGAGCCATTGCAGCTTTCTAGACAGGGAGGTTCAGCCGAATCAGAGCTCAGGAAACTTGTTTAGTGGTATCTTTGGGGTAAAAATGAGCTGTGTGATCTGGTGCAAGAAGTCCTGTCAGAGTTATGGTCGGTCTAGCGGCCCTAAATGAGAAGGACAGCCAGAGGGACAGAGAATGCCAGAAATTACTCCCTTCCTGTTCCAGTCCACTATTTTCTTGGCCACACTTAGAATAGCAAAGGGCTTGACACATAATTAGCTATCAGCATTCGCTTAGTGAATAAATGAGGTTGCAATAAGGGGAAAGAAATGAAAGCAAATCATTTATCTAGGATTGTGAGATTGCACAAATCTGGATTTCCTGGACAAACTTAATTTTGATGCATCTGAAAATGTCCATCATTTATACACAGGGCCAAAGCCTTGCATATATAGAAAAAAGAAATATAATGTGTTTGTAAATATGTCTGTAGGTAGAATTTTAATTATGAATTTGTGATCAAGGTTAATAATTTAAGTAAATTGCTCAAGTGTGATTAATATTATTGCCCAAGATAAAAGATAACTCAACTCTCACATGGCATTGCACTTTTTACCTTGCAGAAGAACACAAGCCCGACTATGCTACAGTTAAAGCAAACAGACATGTACAAATATTTTAGGTCCATAAAAAGACAAAAAAGCTTGGCAATTATCTTTATGTATGTGCATTCTGATCCTAACATACCCACTGGCCAAATTTCTCTACGATAATAGGGGACAACATTGGCCTAACATTTATAGGAATGAATGCCCTCTAAATTTCTAGCCAAAATTATACTTAAATATATGAAGTAGATGAAATACATTCTAAGTTAAGTCAAAACACCTTAAAATTTTAAATTGAAATATAGTTCACATGCCATAAAAATAATCCCTTTAAATTACACAGTTCAGTGGCATTTAGTACATTCTAGACATTGTGTAATCATCACCATTACCTAATTCCAGAATATCCTCACCACCCCAACAAAAAAAACCTTGTGCCCATTATCAGTCATTGCTATTCACTCTCCCCACTGCTTCTGGCAACCACTAATCTACTTTCTATCTCTATGGATTTGTCTGTTCTAGACTCCCTGAAATTTTGTACAAAACAAGTATAATAGATTGTATTTCAGCTACTGCATACTGTAAAAGTATTTTTACATTAAAAAGTGGGGATGTGGCATCTTTAAAATGTCTTCAAACAGTTGAAAAGAATGAGATTCTAAATAACTTCAGTTTCCATGACCTTTTCACATAAAAAGTTGGTATATATGATCTTACATGTGTGAGTTTGAGTGTGCTTTTTACAGAGTGTGGTTAATCCCTTTAGAGATGTTTTCGTTCTGTCAGTTTGAGCTGAAGAAAACATGGTGAGAACTATCTTTGTCACCTCAAGGCCAAATGGACACTGAGCAGAAGGACTCACTTTGTCTCTATCAAGATTCTCTCTGTCCGGCTCTCTGTCTGAAAGATCATGAATGGGCTTGACCTGTACTCATGAGATCAAATGACGGCCACTCCAAGGTCTCATGTGTGTGCAATGTTCCTTCTCTAACACATTTCTTTTTTTTTTTTTGAGACGGAGTTTCACTCATGTTACCCAGGCTGGAGTGCAATGGCACGATCTCGGCTCACCGCAACCTCCGCCTCCTGGGTTCAGGCAATTCTACTGCCTCAGCCTCCTGAGTAGCTGGGATTACAGGCACGCGCCACCATGCCCAGCTAATTTTTTGTATTTTTAGTAGAGACGGGGTTTCACCATGTTGACCAGGATGGTCTCGATCTCTTGACCTCGTGATCCACCCGCCTCGGCCTCCCAAAGTGCTGGGATTACAGGCTTGAGCCACCATTTCAAGCAAACTGGTGACACACTTGTAGCATGAACTATGTTTCATGTTAACAAATTCTGGTTAGCTATCCTATTTACACTCAAAATGTAGGGAGTCTTTCTGTTAATCTCCTGATACATTCAAGAGAAGGTTTCACAGACAAGCTAGAATTGGAGCTAGACCTCTACGGCCAAGCTGGAAATCTGTAGGAAGATGTGCACTAAAATGTAAGCAATGAATCTGGAATAATTTTCATTCTTATGCATCTCTACAATTTAGGGGGCATGACTACCTAAAAATAACAGTAACACAACAGGAACCACCCTGAAGCTTTACTCAAAATGTTGTCTTAAATGACTGCCTAGAGAGTATCCTGGGTTTCTGAGACCATCTTCCAAGTGCCTTTAGAATTCACAATGTCTGAAAATTGCATTTAGCCAAGGCTGGTTGCTCTGTAAAAATCTTTTTTGATATAATACATTTGAAGGTACCACTTGGAGGAAGCAAATAAAAGTGGACGACTTAGCAGGAAGCTGTCAGCTGTCAAGATGCTACTTCTTAATATATCCTTGGGGCTTACCGGGTCATCCTTTGCATGGATTCACGCTATTTTGGGCAGCGTGACTGGCTCGGATTCCAAGTTAAATGATTTGACCAGTAGGTGGCAGTTCAAAACAACATGAAACTAAAAAGTTCACTAGGGGTTTTAAGAAGTTTCCTCTTTATCTCTTATTATTCTCCAGATAAGGTCCAGTTTTCAGTCCCACCTTGGAAGCCCAAGCCTTCACCTGCAGGGACAGAGCCCACTCATGCTGGGAATGGCCAAGAGGAAAACAAAACAGAACACACTATGCCTTCCCATTGCCTTCCCGGGCAGGGTTCTTTGTTTCCTATGCAAACTCTGTGCCCATGGAGGCTGCTTACCTCATTGGAATGCGTCCTGTTTTGGTGCTTGGCGCGATCAGAGGCATTTGAGAAAGCCTTGTTGCAACCTTCGTGCTCACAGACGTATGGTTTCTCTCCAGTGTGAGATCTCAAGTGTGTTTTCAAGTTTTCTAGTCTCGAGTAGGCCTTTGTGCAACCTTCAAACTGAGGACAACAGGTAAATCTGGATTACTCTGCACAATGGCAACAGCAGCTTATGCCTAACACGCCCTCCAAGCTGATGAAAAACTGACGTTTCAAGGGTCAGCAGCTTTTTAAAACCCAGGAACAAAAGTCCACTAAACTCTGCATTTATTGGGATTCAGATGTAGCTTGGTGCAGTTCAAGATAAAAAGTTTTCAGTGCCAGTAAAAGTCCTGAAGTTTTTTTTTTTTTTTAATAGACCGCTCAATGTGGACAATGGGTTTCATTATCTGCTCATTGATCTCCTCAAATTCCCACTGATTTCAGATTCAGCACAAAGTTCATTAATATAGCTTTGTGTCCACACAAAGACATGGAATTTGATCATGCTTGTAAAGGGCCTTTAAGATGTAAAGTACCAGGGCTCAGTGTGCCCAGTGCGCCTTGTGGGCACCACAGTGAGGAATGCACAGCCTTGCAGCAGGCCTGTCCCATTCCATGCGCCTATGCTGTGCCCAATTACTCACTAGGAAAGGAAGGGAAAACTTTAAAACCTGGTATAGGGATTAGCTGTTTTAAAAGTCAACTTCCACTTTGTAAGTTGGAAGCTGGCACTTCCCTCTGCCTTCCGAGCCCCAGGGTACTGTACATTGTTGGGCCACGGCCAGCAGGGTGACTCTGTGTTCATTCCCAGTGCCAGCCGCCGCTGCCCCCTTCCCACTCTGCAGAGCTGCGCTGTCTAACTCAATCACTCAAACACCCAAGTATTTATCACCAGTCCACACTCCAGTCCTCTTCTCCTGCCACCCAACCACACTTCCCCTGAGCTGGAGTCATCAGCTTGCACAGCTCTTCTGAGTATGGGGAAGGACCCACGTGTGCCTGCCGCCCACCTCTGTACTCACAGTGCATTTGTGAGGCTTCTCGCCCGTGTGTCTTCTCATATGCACTACCAACATATACTGGGCTTTGAAGGGTTTCTGCTCTCTTGAGCAGTCCAGCCACCTGCACACAAACTCCTTCTTCTCTCCATGAATATGGTCGTTATTTATATGCTGGAGTTGGAAAAAGAGAGAGAAATCAAATGGAAATGTATTCCTCATTTCTGAAGGCAACAGAAGAAAAGGCAGAAAATGGCCCAATCTTAAATCCTAAAGACGACACAAATAACTTTACCGTACTACAAGTTTTAAAAATTCTAGTTAGTACACTTCTCAAGTAAATCTGCTTCTGCTAACTGTGTATGCATGCTTTTTAACCCGTGGGAGTGGCATGACTGGGGCAGAGCCTGGCATCCGAGGAGATATACCACAGTACATCGGGCATCTGAAGAGCAGAGTTCAATTCCAGGTTTGGGACCAGCGAGTTACGAAATGGGGTGAGCCACTGTTGACCTTTCTGAACCTCTGTCATTTTTCCTTGTCAAGGCTGGGGATGGATGCTGAACAACTGCAGAGACATTCTCCAGCACTCAGGCACTAGGCCATGGGTTAGTGCCGTGGCTGAGACTTCAAACAGAGAAGGCAAACACAGACACACACAATTCCAGAACAAGAAAACCAAAAGCACTTGCAATCGAAACTTTAGCTCAGGGTTAGTCAGACTGCGTCCTGAATAAGAATTACAGAGAAAAGAATTATCCTGAAGAAGAGAATTGTGTGGTTATCAACAAATGATTTAGTCTTCCAGGGCCTTAGTTTTCTTCTTGTAGAAAATAAATGACTGGATTCACTAGTTGCTAGGGACCTTTCTAGCTCTAAAATTATATTAATTCGGTTTTTAGCATAAAGATGAAGTTCTCTGAATTACTTACCATTTCAAGGTTTTAGAATCATTTATCTAATTTCTTGGAGTAATACAATTGGGAATCATTAGAAATCTATTGCAGAACCAGAGGAAGAGAAGCTTCTTAATTTCCATCCAATTAAGATCAATTTCAATAGGTTGAGCATACGATTTCAATGCCCAGCTATAGACTACTGAAGACATTTGTATCCTAGGTTGATGCTGTTGGTCTTTATTCTCTGGTGATTCTGCTTATTTGCCTTAATTTAAGGCTTGTGGGAACACTTTCTCAAGTATACACAGAAATGCACACGCCACCAAAAAACTTCATTCAGTAAGAGAAAGCTCCCTTTGGCTCCATGCCCTGCATGCTAGTGACACAAGCTCTCATTACTTTCCTGCTGAGACCAGGGCTCCTAAAGCGGTGGTTCGCTGTGGGTCTGAAGGTAAAGTTCTGCCCTCAGAGAGGGCGTTTCCCAGTTACTCCACTAGATGGCCTACTCCTTTAGGGGAAAAAAAAAAAGTTTTATAAAAAATAAAGTTTTCCATGCTGTTTCTGGAGTTTAAAACTGGGTGAGGACAGAGGAAATAAATAGTTGTTCTCTATCTCCTCTCCTTGGAACAGCTCCCAGAAAAATCTGATCAACAGCGGAGAGTGATGGGTACATCGCGGCACACAAGGAGACAACCAGGGTCCTGTCAGAAGCTCCGAACACGACACAGAAACGGCGGTGGTGCGGGAGCAACCCCACGGCCAACAGATGTGGGTTTCCTATGAAAAACCAACCATGCTCCACGTGAGTGTTTCTTAACAGTTATGAGGACGCACACAGATATAGGAAGATAACAGATGCGCTGGACAGGGGACGATGGTCAATCCGCACATGTCGGCTTCCAGTACATCTTTGTAGCCCGTACACAAGACCAGCGCTTTCTGAAATGTGTGCTGAAGCCTAGCCTTTTAAACTAAGCCCACATCACACAGACGGGTTCTATGGATTCTTTTGAACTCCCGACCTCAGGCGATCCGCCCGCCTTGGCCTCCAAAGTGCTTGGATTACAGGCGTGAGCCACCACGCCCGACCTCATGGATTCTCAAACTGGAGAAAAAGAAGTGATCGCACAAAACCACAGTTGCTCTTGGTTCAGTTTTCCAAGCTATTGGAAACAAAGCTTGGGTCCTTGGATTAAGGCACATGAAAGAGAAGGAAAAAAAAAGGAAGGAGGCAAGGGACTAAGGAAGCAAACAAGGCAAGCAGAGAGAGAGGGAGAGAGAAGGAATGGGAAGAATGAGGAAGGAACCCATGAGGGAGACAGGAAAAGTTAAAAGTGGGAAACTGAATTACAATTTGTGCTGAGCAGACTGCTTAAGGCTGGATCCATGTCTTTTAGCTCCCTGTTCTCTCTCATGCTTTTGTGAGAATGTGCTGGGTGCCACTCACACCTGGCCCTGGGCTGGGGAACATGACAGGCATGATTCTTGCTCCAAGGAATTAGTCTACCAGAGGGAAACCAGTAATGGCTTAAATTACTATACCATTACAGTTGTGATAGGCATTATGAAGGGAAATAACAGGGTTTCGTAAGAACATGTAATGGGATCCTCCGTCAGTGTGCAGCATCAGCAATCAGGGTCTGCTTCTCCAGTGGAGCAGCATTTAGTGCAGGACCTGAAGGATGAGTACAGACACACCACGTGTGCAGGGAAGGATGGGGGTGGGGAATGGGACACCACAGCAGACCGATGACTCAGAAGCACCTGCAGAAGAACAGAGCCTGGTGCCTTTGAGGAACAGGGTGAGGGCCACGCATGGCAGGAGAGAGCTGGCCAGGTAGAGACTGCCACTGCTTGGCATGGCGAGAAGGCATGAGTTTTCTGTGGGTCAAGTGGACATCAGCGAGGTAGACAAGCTTGGGCTAGCTTGCCAGGGCTCACCTAAAATGCTGCATGCTCAGTGTCCAGCAGTGAGAATGTGGGAGGTACACCAAGGTAAAACTCACATACACCCCAGGGAAAAGTCAGGCTTGTATATCTGCCCCTGCGGAGGAGAGCATCAGGGATACCTGGTGCTACTCAAGGGAGCAGGGATGGCCAAGAGGGAGATACCAGCAGTGGCCAGCAAAGAAAGACTCTCATCGCTTCCTTTTCTGTCTCATCCAACACACTGCAGGAGCTGAAACCTAGAAAGAAAGGGAAGACGTCTCCTGGAGGCAAACCCAGGCCCCGGATCCTTTAGGTGAGGTAGCACAGGGAGGGCAAACAGCCTGCCAGTTCCCTTGAGGCCTGTGTCTAGCTGCTGACAGGGAACAGAAGGCTCTGGATCAGACCTGAGATTGGAGGTTTAAAATGGACACACTTCAGTAATCCAAAGTGACTGGGAAGGTGTAGAATCTGCCAACAACGGTGTTGAGGGATCTGCTGCAGGGTAGGGAAGGGAGAGCTGGCAACCAGCAGGGGAAGGCTGTGCCTGGAAAAATCCCAGTCATTTCACATGTATACTGTGCCCAGCTTCTTCCACCTTTGCCACTGAGACAACGTGTGGAAATGTGCGTGGTGGGAAATCCCATCTCAGTCAGCAAACATAGTGTTGTCTCCATGTGGGGAGGGGTGGGGGAACTTGCGCTGCGTGGTTGAAGCACTCTCATTTCCAGTAAGGTTAGCACCTTGGGAATGTTCCCTTTCTACCCCCTTTGACCTGAGTCCCAACTAATATGCTTTTGTAATTTTCTGGAATTGCTCTTAAGTTCAAACTTGCATTGAGACCAGAGTTATTTTTCTCTAAATGAAATTCTACAACCTGGGAGGATGCGGAACCAAGTCAGTCTTCCTCCTCTTCACCGCCCAAATGCTGCGCAGAGGACGTAATCAATTGTTATAAGGGAAAAGGGAGGCATCTTTCTGCCTGTTTAAGTAGTTCAAATGTATTTCAAGCTTAAGGTATTTCCCAGAATTAGATTGCAAGTGAAAATTAAAATCCTAAGAACTCACAGACTTCACATGTGCATGTGTTCAAATATTTATTTTCCTTTAAAAAGCTGCATTGGGCTAGACATGGAGGTTCACACCAGTAATCCCAATATTTTGGGAGGCGGAGGCAGGAGGATCACTTGAGGCTAGGAGCTCCAAGACTAGCCTGGACAACATAGCGAGACATGTCTCTACAAAAAAAAAAAAAAAATCAGTGTGGTGGCATGGGCTTGTGGTCTCAGCTACTTGGGAGGCTGAGGCAGGAGGGTCACTTGAGCCCAGGAGGTCAAAGCTGTAGTGAGCAAGGATCGCACTACTGCACTCCAATCTGGATGAGCAAGACTTGTCTGAAAAAAAAAAAAAAAAAAAAAAAAGGCATTGCCCTCTGCAGCGAGTGTTCATCTGAGGGCCTACATCACAGTGGACAGAGCACTGGAGGGTAGTGGAGGACGCATTCCAGACCAATTTCTGAAGAGCTGTATACCTTTGGACAGGCCAATTCACCTATTTGGACCTTACTTTTCTCATCTGTAAAATTAGAGTAATGAATTAGATGAAGTGTTGGCAAAACATTTTCTGTAAAAGCTAGATAGTAAATATTTTAGGCTTTGCAGGGCTGTAAGCAGCCACAGATAATGTAAATGAATGGGTTATGTGATCTTTTATGGATGTGGAAAACTTTCATGTGTCATAAAATATTATTTGACTTTTTTTCAACCTTTTAAAAGTGTAGAAACCATTCTTAGCTCATTGTCTGCACAGAAACAAGCAGCTGGATTTGGCCTATGAGCCAAAGACTGCTAACCCCCAAACTGGAAGTCCTGTTTCCTTCTTGTACTAACATCTGATAGGGGAGCCCTCAAACCTGAGAAAGCAAAATTAGAAGGAGGTACATTCCAGTGTGAGAGAATAAAAGGTAGTAGGAAGGACTGAAAATCAGGATGCTGGGCTATAAAAGGGACCCCAAGGAAGGGAGGGCCATACATTAGGCCAAACTTCACTGTTCGTATCATATTCCTAGGACTAAGTAAAAAACACACATTCTTTTTTCTCACCAAAATCCAAGGTAGGTAAGAAAAGTGACACGCAGTGAATTCTTAATATTCAACAGACAAATTGATCCCATGTGAAGCTGGCCTGAAATTCAATGGGCAGGAATTTATTTGTGGTTTCATTGAAAATTTGACTTCTCAGCAGTGAAAACGTTAATCAAATATATAAATAATTTAATTGGAGGGAAAATAATGCATGATTAAATTCCAAACTAATCCAACACATAGACATGCAATTTGCCAGAGGCCT